TCTTTTACATGTCAATCTTGGCTGTCGGTCAGCAAAATAATCGAGCATCGAGAAATCCAATAATTCTTCGATGATACGGCAATCTCACTTGAACCAATTGTCACGTGCACAGAATATTGAGTATCGTACTGAGATAATCGCATTTTTTGATATTCATTAGGATACACTATTCTCTTAACTTTCTAAATATTGTAAATATAAATACGTGGTATCTCTCTCAAGATCAATGCAGAATTATTTAGTTCTTCGTGAAAATCATTACAGCACATGGATACAACTGTTTAATTTGTAATTTTTTTCCTACAAAGTATTTTGCGTGTACTTATTGCTTTATAAAAATATCAGTATTTCGCGTGTGTTTGTTTTACAATGTTTCATTGCTCGAGCTTGAGTTCGAACTTCTGAGCAATATTGTTGAGAACAGGAAAACTCTTTGTTAGAGCGTGTCCAAATAATTTAAACATTTTTCCAACAGCCAAGATCGCTATTACAAAAAGAACTTCGACAGTTTTTCTTTATTGGTTTAGTGGTTTTAAGTGATATATTCCGGATGCTTGTCGCTGAGACCGGCCCAATGTCGCGGGGACGCAGGTGTCCACGGCACCGCGATGTCGAGAGCCGCGATGCTACTCTTTCGGTGAAAGAGAAACTTCGGGCTCTTCCTTCTCGGACTTTTCGGCGGCGATTCCGCGAAGGTCACGCTTCTTCGTGGTCTTCTGGATGACGGAGGTGGCGGCGGAGGTGCCACTAGTGGGGGCGGCGGAGGCGTCGGCAGCGAAGTGGCGGGCGAATTGTCGCTCGGACTCTCCAGATAGAGATTTACACCTGGGTATGTGTATTGCTGTGTACCTGGTCGCCCTCGGTATTCCCAATCGCGTTTGCTGGAGCGTAGTACTGGAAATTCCGAAGACAATTAGAGTGATGGTAGTCTGTTTGAGCTAATAACTTTCTATTGCAGTTTCCCGATTATTGCAAAGATCGACAAGGAATTGAGGAATTAAAAAAATTTATAAAAGATTTCTATTTTTCTTAGATTAACTTAGAGTACGAAACGCAACGCTTCTGAACGTTCGGAACGCCGTACGGTCGGAACTTTCTATTCGATTTGAAACTATTGAGTGGTTGTGCAAAGCATAATTGAGCTTAATTTTTAAATTTTTGACTCCGCGTCTAATTTTAAATCCAAACTCCAATCCAATCCGAATTCAATTATTAATTGGATTAAATTATTAATTGAATTTTATTCTAAAAATGGATTGGGGGGATTCTTCTTAAACGTATTATTCTGAATGGATTGGTCCGCCGTTACGTTAGGCAGCGACAATTTTTGCTGATTGTGAGCAGATATATCTGTTTGTAGTACTCTAAAGATTAAACTATTTAAACTTTTTGATTAAAAAAATAAATAAAATAAAAAATATACAATTATTAATGTTGCTATACGTTAATACAAATGTGGCTTTGCATCAGATTTAAATATCGATTATTGAAATGATCTGGAAACTGAACACAATATATGGTGTATTAACCCAGATAAAGATAAATAGTAAGAGGTTGTTATAAGTGACAGAATTTCCAATAGTGGTTTTTGTAAAAAGATTTATGTGAAAGAGAGAGAGACTGCAAGACTAAGGTTAGGACTATATGTGATTTTTCTACTGTGAGAAAAGCTAGTAATTTCATCTTTGTGATAATACACTTTTTGCCACGTGTAGTAGCGTGTAGTGCCGTTGGTGCATTTCTTGCAATGCATCTCTTTTTCGATAAAGCATAAATATATAGACGTTTTTCAGTTTGCAATAACAACGTGTTTGCCAATACAAACTTGTAATTCGTCTGTCAAACTTTTATTTTAATAAGGAAATTTATTTCTCTTGAATAATTCATAAATTATAAATATTTATAAGTTATATAACAATATTGTCATTAGAACGGTTTATAACGACAATACGTGTTCACAGATAAGTAAGATTTTTGTTTGTCTTGCTTTGTGAACAAACACAATCTATCGAACACGTATGCGTGTTGATATAAAAAAGAGCGAATCAGCATAAGCGATCCTAAATTTCACGCATTTGTCGCTCGTTTATAAGAACATAATAAGAAGCATCATGCAATTACGTCATGTCGCTCTTTGGTTGCCGTTGCACACTCGAGATGTTTGTTTAAGCCTTAAGCCATACTGATCGATATTTGCGGTAAGGAATGTTGTTTGAAAGAAGATGGAAGAGATATAAGGAATCAAATATCAAATAATATGTACAAAGTAAACTGATTAGAAGCAAAATAAAGTAAATGTTTATTTTATTTTTTTAAGTATAATATATGTATAAAGTAAAAGAAAGTCGTATCTAAGATGATATAATAACTGCGAAAAAAGGCACAAGAAAAAAGCAGAGCGCGTACTTCTTGCACAAGTGCGCACATTCCACACGACGACGATCTAGTAACAAAATGCAACGTACGGATAAAAAACAATTCTGAGATCTTCAGAAAATTTCCAGTACATATGCATTATAGTTCTTGATGGATCATAACTTCTTCATAATCATACCTTCGGCGTGAACGTGGTCAATGTCGGTACCTCCGCAGCCAATACTCGTTTCTTCCCGCGCTGTGAAAGATAGGAAATTTTTTGAAGATCTCGAATTATTTCTTCTTAAGTTCTTACATGTCTTTCTCTCTGTTTGTTTTTGCTTTGTATGCATATTTGAGCACGATTTCATAAAAATTTCCAAAAAAAATTTATAGTAAAAAAATATAAACAATGTAGATATATAATCTTTAACAAAGTGATAATAAGTATAAATAATGTTTTATAAATTCAATATGTGACGAGAAGTTTGCTTGTAGTTCTAAAGAACTATTTGCAAATTTTGAAAAACATACAAAAAGAAATTAATGTACGTTTAACAGATATACGGATTTGTGTCTTTCGTCAAAAGAGAGAGATAGCATTTCAAGAATCAATGTGGTAATGTGTGTATATGTGTGTGTATTTTAAAATTGCACGGCTACATCATGCAGAAGCTTTTGACACGGAGAGAACAGAAAAGAAAAAGAAGGCGCGAAACTGCAATAGAATTTGATGAAAGCGTTACGTGAAAAGTGAAATTGAAATTAAGGGCTAAAAGTACTCACATATGGTCCCGGGAGAGGCGCATGCATCCTCCGTCTAACTCTGCAGTCCGTACCACTAGAGACAAAAACCCAAAATAGAACGAAACGCAAACGCAAAACGAGCAAATATGTACGTCCTTTTTCTGTAACGACCATCGAGTCAAGAGAGAAAAAAACGAAAGACAAGAGAAACGGAAAAGAGCGCAATTACATTCAGCCAGCCGCACATCGCACGCACGTATACGCATACATATAGATATATACATATATATGGAAAATATATGTAAATATATATTGATCGTTCTTAGTCCACTATTGGTCAATCGGTTTCTTCCATGTAAGGCTGAAACTCTGGTGAGACATTAAACGACAGCCGAGTCGAATCCGACTTGACTAATGAGAAAAAGAGAGTGTGTCAACGTTTACGCTGCTAATTGCATGCCAAGCGCACTTCTATGTATAATACTCGTTCATCTATATGTATGAATATAATGTATATGTATATATATATAGTTTTTCATGTACAATATGCGTATGTATAATGTACGATGCTCTTGTTGCGAAAATGTAGGTTTTATGATACATCGATACCTTTGGTTCGAGACCGAAGTAACTGCGCGACGAGACGCACCGCCGATCAAGAGGTCTATGCACCGGAGTATCTTTCTCCCTCTTATGGAATTAATGCGTTGTCAAACAGAGATAATTCAGTGATTAGTATTAGCGTTTTAATAGAGAAATATCTGTATATGTGATCTGTATATATAATTGTTGTATTCGATAAAGAATATATTTGTACGTTTGCGATTAGCAAACATACAAATGATTAATAGCATCAATAATTTTTAACTCGTACTACTCGCAAGTCCACATGAAACTGTATTGTATAGACTATTGTGTGTGATCTTGTTTATAAACAAACATTACAACAACCATCATACTACTTTACACACGTATATAAATAAATATATATATATATATACATATATATGTACATTTATACATGTGTAAATTTTGTTTCAAGACTTAATAATATGACACATATATATGTACGTATAATATTTAATTATAACAGTTAATATATGTATATATAGAAAGTAGCAACTTAACATTACATTTACATATATATATATATACATATAAGCATTAAAAATTAAATATTAAATCTATAATACTCGTTTTACTTAATATATTTTTTCTTCTTTAGATCGGCGGAACGTTTGGTCGAAGCGTCTCTTGCCAAATAATTTCTACTAATACCGTATGCGAATATGCGTATGCCAACGTGAGAATAAAGAAGTTCAATTGTCATTACTTACCCGTCCATTGTCGAAATCGCGACCACCACCGATGGTTAGTCGTGCTTTCGCTTTCATCGCGTCCGACAGTGGTATCTAAGAAAGAACGGCAGTATTGCCTCGTAAACGACGTACAATCTTTTTCTTTATAATTGTATAAAAAAGTTTTACGTGTTCAATAAAATGTAATTTATATATATGTGTATATATATATACATACATATATATATATATACGCAAATTGATATCGTTACGATAAAATGTCTAAAATGTAAAAAAAGGTATGAAATTTTATTCCTTGCATTACCTGGCTTCTTATTACCTTCGCTCTTGTCGCTTCTGTGTGCGACTTGTAGCAGAACTCTAAGAGAGCTACGGCGAGTGCCAAAACAAGGCCACCGATGAGAACATAAAATAGTCCTGCTACGTTGCTCAGGGATAACTCGTTTCTGGCGGTGTCCTGCTTATCGTGTCTGCATTCTGTCCTTTCGTACCACCATCGTTCGACCAGCTTTGCCAGGTCTCCGTTTTCTTTCAAGGACAACACCGCCAAATTTATAGGATCCCTGTTCATCATCAAGTTTACAAGGTCGTAAAATATTTTCGGATAAAAACGTCAATAATGTAAATTTCTCGTAAATAAAACACAACAGACAGAAAAAAAACCAAAAGAGCATAATAAATATAAATTCTGTTCACGTTTACTTTTTATAAATTTTTCGAAAAAAAAATGAAAACAAAATGATATAATAGACAGATCTGATTTCTACAACGAAAAGAATCGAGAAGTTCGGTAGCACGCTGCCGAAACACGATCCGAAATAGTTTTGGTTAGTAAACGTGTTTCCCTGACGGGTAATGGCATGGAAAAGAGAGGTGCAGAGTTTTTCTATGCTAATTGTGCGTAATGATGTGCGACATCGCTCTAAATACAACGGGATGGGAAGCGAAGCCACAAAAAAGTTTGAAAGAGACAGAGACGAAGTGAGGCGAAGAGAGATAGTGTGTACCAGAGTCTGTTTCACAGTGATGACTACAAAACCACGTTAATTACCTACTCGCCCTCGGTTCGTTCGACAAAAAATATATCAAGTGTCTTCTCTCTGGTGTCTGACAAGGTGTGAAAAGATGTGGAAACAAAATTACTTCTGACAAGTTAAAATACTAATTTACGTTGTGAGTGGCTTAAAACGCCACAAAATAATATTGCAGTATATTAATAAAAAAAAACAAAAAAAACAAAAAACTGTACTGCATTTGCAACAATCTCGATTAAAATTGTATTTGATCATACCTTATTTTGCTTTTGTTCCAACGCATTTAAGAAAAGTCTGAAGTAAACTAACTTGTATCGACGTTTATATTTATATGCAAAGCTGCAATTAACCTACATGTTATTAACGGAGAACTCACTTGAGAGGGGATCCTAAGGGCGTCGCGACGCCGTATCCCTTGGTGTTAAAGTTTCTGCCGACCTTCATCGTATCGCAAGGTTCTCTCTCGTTGACATACTCGTTTGTTGGGCTTTCTATTAAAAGTGCGTACTTGCCCTTACTTGCTCGCACTCTTCGTATTCCTTCTTCGTACGATTTTACGAATACGTGCTTCCGCGAGTTCATGAATTCCCACATCTTGCTGTAGAGACTGATTTGAGATTTCTGTGGATATAAATGAGCAAATGACAAAATAAGTAAATGCGAGTTCTTGAATTGTCAAACGAAATTTAATAATGTTCTTGTGACTCTCGGAATTACGCAAATTACTTACTCGAAAAAAATCCCGAGTGGAACCTTCGTTCAGAGTGCCGTATTGAACTTCCGTCTGCGCCGCCAGATCTTCGGGTGAATTGATTGGTGTGACCATTCTCTCAATGGTCAAAAACGCGGCGAGATTCGCGGTGTAGGAAGATATTAAAATCAAGGTGAAGAACCACCAAACGCTGCCGGCTATGCGGCCAGATATGGATCTGTTGAAAGTAATATAGTCATTTGTTGAGGAATAACAAATAACACAAATGTAAAACTTGTATATCATATTAAAGAATAATCATAATTTTCTATTAACTTATTGTTAATTACAGTCTAACAAGTAAAGTGAATAAAACTCCAAAGTCCAATAATAAAAACAAGATAAGATAAAACTACACAGAAGAAGAATTTATACACATATGATAGAAGTTTTAGTGCATTTTAATAGCACATATAAACGTAACATATTCAGAAGAATGAATTGCTTGAGTATTCGTCACACGAATAGAAAGATTGTGAAATTAAACGTTTGACAATCTGCTGGATAACCGTCAGTTTAATTACGTCGGATTCGAGTTTGTGAAAGATGAGCATCAAGAGCGGAGAAAGAGTCAAAAGAACAGAAGAAGAAAGAAAGAGAAATATATGGAGAAGAAGGACAAGGGATGGTAACCGCGCGCGCAAGTTCCCCACGAAATTTACAATTCATATCGCCACTGCGCGAATATTTAAACCATTAATCAAGAGGGCTACTAGGATGGGGTGGCGCGCTGGATACAGCCAAATGTAAATTAATTGAGACCCAGTTTTGCAGTGAGCACGCGGTCTGCTTCGTGTAAACGATAAAATGTGCGTGTGTATGCATAACGTTTTGTCCCGTGACTCCGCGGGAGTGTATGCAGTTTCGTTGATGAAATAGTTATTTTCCAACCTAAAGGTATATCATGCCGCATTGTTGCGTCGCGAAATTGATTTGATTGCGGTAAAGAAAAATGTAAAACAATAAAAACAGAATAGAGAAATAAAGAAAGAAAACAAAAATCCATAGCATATTCTTTATATTTCATGACTTATAAAACTAAAAACTGAAAAAGTGTAATATTTTTATGTATTTGTTACGATTTTGAAATTGATTTAACAAAGCATTTTTTTAGCGAGTTTATAGTTTTTATTATAACACAAAAGTTGCTATAAAAAATATGGTAGCGGAAAAAGTAAATAAAACGTTATATAAAAATATTTTAATTTATATAAACACAACATTTTATACAAATAATACCAAAATACAAGGCGCATATCAATTGTATATACGCGCATAGCACGATCCCGTTTGCACAGAAAATTTTTGCGCAGACTCCGATTGCGCATAGTCGTTATTATTACATTTGCGAAGTAAATATTTTGCTTATATCACACACTATAGTACATACGTGGGCGGGGGAGGGGCTCCGCTCCTCCCCCTGCACCCCCTTTTCGAAAAAATCTAACCCAACCCAATCTATAATGTCTGTGCAATGACGATTATGCGCAAAAATTCTCTGTGCAAACGGAACCTGTGCAACCGTCGATCTGCGCAAAAGAAATCTTGGCTATCGGGATCTTCCTCGCGCATAAACACCGAATAGTGCGAAGAAAGATGTGTGATCTGAACAATTCTATCATCCCAACTATGCACAATGTATCTTAAAGTACAACATAGCATTGCCACGTGAATATTCTATTCATGCTCGCCTATCCAGCTACAATGTTTTGAATATGCGAGCGAATTATGCTTTGTTTATAGATGTGACATTTGTCTGCAACCTGAATTTACTCGAAATCATTATTTAACTCGCGATGTTACAATATTTAGAAACATGTATCATTAGTGTATCTCGTAAGACATTTTTTTGAAATGTTATTATAATTATACATCTGGAGAACATACAAAATTCAACGAGATACAAAGAGAAACAATTGAGGGAATCTTCCTTTAAAATACAGAAGACCTGCCTTCTGAACTATTATAAAAGTACTTCTCAACCCGAATGTCCACTCGTGAAGAGCCTTCACAATTTACACGAGAGATTTTAAACGTCGACTTTAGGGAGCCCTTAGAATTTTACGCGATTCATCCTATTACCGGGCTATACGGTCGACCTGTCCTGGGTAAAGGCAAGCTATTCTCTCCCCGATGCCTTTATGTACTTACCTGCGCTTATACTCTTTCTGAGCGCGGAAACGGAAACGAAGGCAGGCAAGGGAAAGAAAGAGAGAGAGAGAGAGAGAAAGAGAGAGAGAGAGAGACAGAGAGAGAGAGAGAGCGGCTATAATTAACCGAGAAGAACGTGAAAGCTACTTGCGCACGCCGAAATAGTCTCTCTTTCTCTTTCGTTCTCTCGCGTTCATGGCCGAATCTCATTCTCGAGATAAATATCTGAACCCAAAACTTTCGGCTAATCGCAAAATTGCGGCGGCACATGTTTTGTTTACACAAGCTCTTCCCATATGCTGACACAATTTTTTTCAAGATTTGTCTATGGACAAACAAAACAATGTGAAATCGTTTATTTCAATTTTTTCTAATATCAGATATAAAATAAACATAAAAATAATAAAATAAATTTAAACAGAACTCTCGCTAATAAAACAAAAACAAATTTGAATTAAATTTCTATTGAAGTAAATTTGATCGATTGCGTGTGAATGAAAAACAAATATTTAATAAAACAAAAACAATTTGATGTTTAAAAATATTGATAACTGTAACGTCATAGAAATAAATACTCGTGTTTTAATTTCACAAGTGCGATAAGTTTAATTTGCTTGAAGAGGTGGTTGTATGAAATATTTATTGCAGCAATTTATATGCATATATATATGTGCGCGCGCGCGCGTGTGTGTGTACATACATATACATACATATCGTAAGAAATTCTCTTCTAATCATCATCATTCACTGTAGTAATTAAGATTGAAAATATGTGACTTGTACAAGGATTAACGAACGATTGGAAAAAATTAAACCGTCGAGTTTCTGGCAGATGCCTTCTTGTGAGCAAACGTTAATTGCTGCCGGAAATTAATAACATGAGCCATGTTTACCTAGGTGAGATATCGCAGCCCTGTTGCATAAGCGCTGCCAGAGCAAACCAGAGGCTATTTACGATACTGAAGTCGTTGGCCATGCTAGAAGTTGGCATGTGGGGTGAACCTTGCGGCGTATGTGGATGCTGCAAACTGGGGTCATTTCGTCCACTAATAGCCGAATCCGTGCTACCGCTGATGGTTAGGACTCTCCACTCATAAGGAGAAAATCTGAATCAAAGCAAAGAGAAACCAAAGAGAAATTTTAAGAGAGAGAATATTTTTCAAATGTTATATTAAAAGCAATAAAAAATTTTTAATAAAATATTAAAGGAACTTTTTTACATTTTTTGAATTATTTTTTATTTGAAAAGTTATTGCATTTGAAAAGAAAAAAAATATATATTATATATAAAATCATTAAAAAATTACTATTGGTTTTGATTAAAACATAGTGTTATTTCTTTATATAAACACGGTAGAGAATTGCATCATGAGTGATTACATCATGAGTAACTCAATTGTTTATTTTATCCTAGTAATTGGATTAATTTTGTTATCTTTCGCAAAATGCCGTGTTTGATTGCGATAATGAGAAAAATTGCAAGATAAGAAACGCAAATATATATAACATAGCGCAGTACAGAATGGAAAAGTGCAATAAATGTATATTACAATATGCTGGTGTAATTTGATGCCCGCATTGCGATAAATATACCTGTAATTTGCCGCGCCTTGGTACGTAATTATAGCAGTAGGTACAAGGCCTACGCGGTCACGATAAAAATATATGGCAAGGTCTCGATGTTTCAATTATGCTTTTCAATGCAAATTATTTATTTATTGCTTAATTGTGAGACGAGAGATGTTTTAGTTCAATATTAAGAGAAGGAGATAAAAAAATCTTTTTTTGTTGAAGGGTACAAAATGGGTAAAACTTGAAGATATTAAGCATTCTACTGTAATTCAACTAGCGTGATGTTATATGTGAGTATATATTATGTTTATATATAATAGTGATTATATATATATA